GAGGTATTCGGCCAATCACAACGCACTGGATAGCTGGCCAATCACAGCACACCTAGCTTTTCAGACCGATGAGCTTTGTAAAAATCGACACATTTCAGAAATGCGGGGCATAGAGGAGAAACAATAATGTGTTTTTTTAACCTTAAACCACATAAACACATTTCATTACACCAAATACACCAAATAATGTTCTTTTTAGCAACATCATATGACCCCTTTAATAATAATGCTAATCAATAGCCCCTTTAATAATGCTTAGGAAGGAAGAATTAAACTTAGCCATGACCGTAGACACTCACCGGCTCTCCTCCCAGTCTTTGGGTTTCTTGGTCTCATTGGGTTTGATACAGCGGATGTAGTGAGGTGTACACTTCATCAGGGTGCTCACCAGATCATTGGCTTGTTTCTGTCATTAGAAAAAGAGGATGTGATAGAGCTAAAACACCTAACAGAGTTACTTATGTGAGAGAGAATAAAAAACACAATTAAAACTGAAAACCACTTCATCTACACAGACAGCCAGGCAGTGTAGTATATGAGTAGAAACAGATAGAACCTACAGAGGTTCAGAGACCTGCAAAGAACCTCAACGCAGAAATGAGACTCATCTCACCTTGATTTTACTCCCTGCTGTAGTGGGTCTGCCTTTTTTCTCAGCATTGAGGTTTTCTGGGAACAGGGCACGGATGAAAGTTCTAATAAAGAGAATTAAAACAGACAGGAATGATCTGGGGTTGGTAGAAAAAGAGAAGAATACAGCAGGAGAAATACAGACTGTAACAGACAGGAATGTTTTGAATCATTTCTCCGCTGCAGACCAGGGTCACTTGAATTCCTCCGAGCCACAGTGCACATTGTTTCGGAGATCAGTATCACTGGGACAGTCTGAATACCTGTGAATTTTAATCTCTGGTGCTCACTGTCCATTTGTCTCACTAGATTTTACAGAGATTCGGCATACTGCAGTAAATGCATTATTATTGGTTTCCTTGTAGTATCTCTATTTTAATATTCATAAAATGCCATTGTATGTGGAGCTTGTTTAGCTCAAGTGTGCTCTTTGAGCAGATTTTGTACCAAATGCCAGTGCGTTACATAACAAAAAAACAACAAAACATAGGCGTCTACTCTTATTAAGGAAAATGTTCTGGGCTCAAATAATAAGTTAAGTCCTCTCTGCAGTATCTGTAACACATAACAGGTTTAAATGCAGAAATCAAGCTTATATTTTAGGTTAAAGACAAGTTTTGTGTTATCTCAAATAGAAAGCTTTCACATGAGCATGCTTTGTTCTTAAACCTCTTTATAGGGTTAAAGGTCAGGGAGTGGAGCTGCAGGGCTACATCTGTGCAGATAGACAGGAAGCCCTGCTTTGTCACTGAATCAACAACTAAGATTTCTTTTTATTCTGTTCTGTGCATAGGACCTGCATGCCGGTGCGAAGGAAGTTCCCCTGTGAACTCTGTGTGTGTGTGTGTGTGTGTGTGTGTGCGGTGCATATATACGCATGACACGTGTCTGAATGCCGTCTGAAAGCAGACCCCCAGAAGGCTTCACAAAGGGCTGCAGGAGGAGACGGTTTGCACAGATGGCTTCTGGGGCCCAAAAGAGGCCCAGGAGCACATAAGAGCGACGGGCACGCTCTACAAGTCCTACTCCCTTGAGAGACAGAGGGGCCTTTTGGATTCAGAAACAATGATAATCTCCTGCATACTTCTATTATTGGCCCTTCAGCTGGCCTGATTATACCCATGATTTACATATATTAAGATCTTCAAGTGCTCTGAGAGTCTGTTACAAGCAGCTGTTGGATGAGATCACAGACTGGCTGATTTTTATGATGGAAGTGTGACACTTACATTTCACTGCTCTGCATCAGCTCGATCAGGTCAGTGAACAGCACGTCCCTGTTCCTCTCACAGAAACCCTCTGCATCATAAGACACCTGGACACACATAAAATATCATTTAAAAAGTGTGTTCTGGACAGGGTTAGAAACTCAAGTCATTGTTTGAGCCACAGTTGAGCCAATAGATGCTCAGATGAATGTCAGTTCAACCAACCAATTACTTACATGTACTTACTTATGTACTTTTCCAAGCATCGGTGGTCTGCAATTGAAAAAAATCGCTAGAAAAAGCGACTGTAGTTACTGTACTATTTATGCAACCCATCAAAGATGCATAATCTTTTATATAT